GGAAAGTTAGAACTGAAAATGAGCATTTCTTCAACGTGTCCAGCATCAGGTAGTGTTAAGAGGCAGAGCTGCGGTGAGAAGTCTAGTCCTTAGTATTCAGTCAAGGATGGTTTTTACCATGTCATGGTGTTCCTTGAAACAAGGCTTTGTTTCAAATATTTGAACCCAGAAATTCACAGGAATCCTCACAATCACTATACACATTACCTATTTTTAGTATCTATATACAAAGAAAGAACATATTTTACTCGTGTTTAAGCTATTAATGGGAATTACAATGTGTTTATCATTCACCAGTGTACACTTAGTAAAATCATGTTATTAAATTAAAAGAGAGTATCCATAGCTACCTCTTTTTGTTGGATACCAAAAAAAAATGGAGCCTTAGTTGGGAAATGCCTGTGTAGGTTTTGATCTTTAAAAGTAAAGCTAAAACATTTAATAGTAAAAGCAGTAACTATTTGGAGGAAAACTGAATTTAAAAATGAATTGTTATTTTTACAAAATTAGAGGTTTAGAAACTGTCAAAAACTGTTGCAAAGTGATTCAAGAATAGTGAAACATTTCTTAAATATTTGAACTTCAAAAATAAGTACTTTCCACATTTTGGTTACTGTGAATGGTGCCACAATGAACATGGGAGTGCTAATCTCTGTTCAAGATCCTGATTTCAATTTTTTGGGATAAATACCCAGAAGTGGGATTGGTGGATCTTATGGTACGTATAATAAGGTTTCAAAACTTCATTAATATTTGTACAGACAACAGATCAATCTCTGGAGAAACAAAATTCTACCAAGTTATTTGTTTTTATCTCTTTCAGGATAGAAAGGCATGGAGGATAACGGCATTTGATTTGGAGTTATGTCAATCTAAGTTTCATCCCGGTCTGTCTCCCCACTTCACTAATTCTGAGAACAGGAGCATGCACGTATCCTCAGTCGGCTTTTTCTTATCTATAAAATTATGATAATAATATCTACATTACTATGTTGTTGCAAGGAAGTACTGAGATAACAAATAAATGCTTACGCCTGTGTTTGGATCATAAAGCCTGTTCAATATGGTTTTGAAATTTCTGAACTGGTGGTTCACTGGAGGTTCTGAACTGGAGGTTTGTAGAAAATAAGAAGACTCATAACTTCACTTAAACAAAAATTACTGAAATTAGGTTGCTTAAAAAAATTAGATGAGAGAGAATGTCAGGAGATTATGTAAAAATAAATGCAGTTAATGTTAGATAGGCATTTAGCAGTACATCAATCAGGTACATTTAGAGAATATGTGAATATCAGAGAATATTAAAGAGTAAAGGAGAGAAGACTGGTCAGAAAACTCCACCATCCCTCTTCCCTCTGCTGTGTTTGGCAATATGACATTGGGGAAGTTATTTAATTATTCTGGGCATTGGCTTCCTCCTCTGCAAAATGAGGCTGAATTATGTGGTCTCTATCATCCATTGGGTTCACAGATTATCAAATTTTACAAGTATAGTTATTCAATACACTGTGAAGTATAATTGCAATAATTTTATGAATACAGAGTTATTTAAAACAGCAAAGTTAGTTTATAAAAAGCATATTTGTGTAACAGATTCTCATATCAGATAATGATGTTCCTAACTTCAACATCAGCCCTCCAAATATGAAATATAATGTGGAAAATCCAACTAATAGCATTATTTGCAAATAAAAAGTAAGATACCATTTTTAAAAAACTAAGAAAGTAATGAAGCCAAAAGCTTACACATTTATGTATGATTTTACAGATATTTTCAAATTTGGTCATAGAGATTTCAAAGAGACTATAAAAGTACCTAGTTACTGGAAACAACTGATACCCCTTGGCTACTGTAGCTTTCTAGCTCAATGCTCCCCCAAACCTTTCAGGAGCAGTGGTCACCACTCTTTTTACACAGGACCAACTGGAAGAGTTTGGTCAATAAAAAATAGTTTAAAAATACCTTCATATTATTATTTCACATAAATAAATTCTTTAGACCGGCTTATATCGTTGCTCCCCATTTAAAATCAGCATAGACATATCTGAGCTTAGTTCAGAAGAAGAAGAAGAAAGAACCACACTTTTAACATAAACTATAAAGCAAAATAAATAACCTCTGACAGCAACCAGTATAATTTCTTTCCTCTCTCTAAGTTCCATAAAAAGGACATAATCTACCTGTTCAAAGAGAGTATTCTGATGGAATCTTTCTGAGGGAGATTTTGCCTTTCTGTCTCTGTTACCAACAGTGGCCTGAGAATGGGCTATGGATAAAAGATTAGGCGTAATTCTCAAAGCTCAGCTTAAAATGTGAATGTGTTAACACATTTTTAAAAAGCATAGGAATTCTATGAGAAATACTGATATTTAGAAAGGATAAAGGAATAACTCGGTTAAATGGCATTTATTTATGCCTGATAATATTCTTCCTTTTCTAAATTGTTAAATAGAAAAAAGTTAACTATTTCTTTAGTAGTCTGGATACAGCCTATTCCCTAGATAATTCTGAACTCTTCAAGAAAATACCTATGTGTAAACTTTTGAGTCCTCAGCAGCAAAGACTGGTGCTTCTTTTCTCATTGATGAAACACCCTCATCACTGACACATATGCTTTACTATCTGGTGAGAGGGAGGGTCACTTATTCACATTTCAGAGAAGTGTCTGTGTCCTTAGGAGAGTCAGGAGCATGAGAGTCAGAGCATGTGAGTTCTCTTTAAGCCTCATATGGCCTTCACAGTTCGTTCAGGCAGGAGAAGGGAAGCAATGACAATAGCCACCTCTGCAGCACCTCTAACCTACCCTATAATTGGAAAGTAATGTAATCTGGAAGCATAAGCATGTGATCATTTTGATAATTAATTTCAATTTCTTAGCATTATAAGAATCAACTGCTATATATGTATGAATTCAAATAATTTTCTGCAATTAATGTGTACGGTTTCAGTCCCAAATTCTTTCTCCTATAACATCCAGATGTTAGAGATGTTTTTTAAAAATGGCCTGAATGGTCAGTCTTTCTTTTTTAAAACAAACTCATACAGAAACAGCTCAGAATGTGATAGTCTGTGATACTTAACCCCAGAATCCTAATATGGTAAAATTTCCCCAGCTAGAGCTCCCTCTGAATTTTAACCATCCTCCTCCTCAAAAAAACAATCCAAATATATGTCTGTATACACATATATATGTGTATGTATGGGATGTACACTCAATAAAAGATCTTCTGGGGCCGGCCTGGTGGCGCAGTGGTTAATCTGGGGCCGGCCTGGTGGCGCAGTGGTTAAGTGCGCACGTTCCGCTTTGGAGGCCCGGGGATCACCAGTTTGGATCCCAGGTGCAGACATGGCGCTGCTTGTCATGCCATGCTGTGGCAGGCATCCCACATATAAAGTAGAGGAAGACGGGCACGGATGTTAGCTCAGGGCTAGTCTTCCTCAGAGAAGGGAGGAGGATTGGCAGCAGTTAGTTCAGGGCTACACTTCCTCAAAAAAAAAGAAAAAAAGATCTTCCATGGAAGGGGAAAAGAAATATAATTTAATAGAAAAAGGTTTTAATATAGTATCATAATACAAGGACTAAGAGCTTGGACTCAGCCATCAGAGTGTCTGGGTTTAAAACTCAGCTGCACCACTCACTAGCTTTGTAGCCTTGGGCAAGTTACTGCACCTATCTGTGTCTGAGATTGCTCATCTGCAAAATGGCATTAATAGTAACAGCACTTGCTTCAGAGAGTCACTATGAAAATTAAAAACTGTAAAGCCTTTAGAAGGGTACCTGCATACCCTAAAAGTCCCTACACCCCATGTTACTGGTAAAAAAATAAAATAAAATAAGTAAGTATAGCTTTGATGTTCAATAAAATAAAAAAGTGAATCCTGAAAATCATATTATTTGCAAAAAAAAAATTATTTCCACAAAAGTTGTGATTACCTTATAATCAGTCCAGAAAATATCACCGAAACATACTTGTATTGAGGAATTACAAAAGGGAAAATGGACATGGCTGTAAAATGTGTTTCCCAAATTTAATCAGGTTATATAACAGAAGGATGAAAAGTGCATTCAGAAAGCCTGGCTACCAGCAGTTTCCCCTTTAAGAAGGAACATATGAAAAGACAAAATTCAGTAGAATTACACAGGTTAACTCAACAATTTTTTTCAGAGATTTTGATGATTAGTTTAGATCTCTTTGTAGAAATATTCATAATGATTTTACATGAAAAATATTAAAGAAAATTCTCCTTTTATATTAGGTCAATTAACCAACCTTAAAATATTTAAATAAACTGTTTTAATCATGTCAACAAAACAAAACAAAAGCCTCCATTTACATTGCACATATGGATTATAAACTGCAGGTTTTCTTTTTTAAACAGATACATAAACTCTAAAATACATCTCTTACTTGTTCCATCTGTGCTTTAAACATAATTTATACTATCTGAATAGAATTTTGGACTCAGGGTTCTCTAGGTCTTTTCCCCGTCTAAAATATGCATATTACTCCAAGGTGCAACATAATAAAAAAGATAAATGCATAACAAGAAAGGAGATAATTTAAATGAACCATTATAACTGATGTAGTCCTTTCAAAGTAGAAGTGGAAACTAGAAGACTCCAGCTATAAGCAGAGCTGTATGTGCAGATTAAACACTTATTTGGCACTTCCATCTAACTTGGAATATTCATCATCCTATACAATAAATCATTTTGATGATTCTGTAGACTTATGGAGGATAAGCACTACATTCTCAGCATAGTGTGCTCCTTACGATGTAGTGCTTTGTTTCCTGTAGTACTTAAGATTGTTACTCAGAAGAAAAATGTTAAGTTCTGAAAAGGATGGAAATGCGAATATTTCACTGTAAATAAATAATAGCTATTTTAAAAACCACAGTACATGTTGCTGTGGTGAATAGCATAGTTTATTATAATAGAATTAGGAATAGAGTATGAGTGTAAGCAAATAATTTGATTATTAAGTTGGATACATACTGTGCCAGGTCGGGGATAAGGAATTCTTCCATCATACTGCACCCAACGATGGTCTGCACTTTCTTTATGAGCATATGGACCATTAAAAACTGCTCTGATGTCAGCCATGCTATATACACAAACTGCAGAGCCTTTGAAGATGGAGCTGAAAGAAAGCAACATGATTCAATCATTCACTGGTTCATTCAATGGACATTTATTAAGCGCACACTATAACCAGGTGCTGTGGACAAATATATTCAGCATATTCTATTTGATAGGTGCTGCAGACAAAATGTATGTATGTCTCAAGGAGCTTACAGCCAAGTAATCCTGAATAAAGTGTGATAGCAGTTACATCACAGGTGATTATAGTAATAAGCTTCAAGCATGCAGATAGGCACCCAATACAGGCTGTCAAGTTTTCAGGGAGTAGGTGGTGTCTAACTTGACACAATGGATAAAATGGAATTACCTAGAAAAATTGGAGGGGAGAAAGGAATATGCAGGAAAGAGTATTATATTTATCCACATGCTCTTGAATTTTATTTTAAGTTATTCTGGCATAATGCCTTCTAATGAACTTACAAAATAAGTTACATTATTACTTCCTTTTTTAAAAAAGGAATAATTTAGATATATAAATAATAAATATCTTATTTATCTGTTATCTTAAAGTGGGTGAACGTCCATAAATCCATAAATACTGGCTATTAATAATTTCCTCATATAATTTTTATTAATTTAAATTTTTGCTCCTTCCTGAGTTTCTGAGTTTATGTATGTAGCTTATCTGATGCTTAAAATTAATCATAATTACGCAGGATTGGAGTATACATAATGAAGAGGCAGAAAGCTCCATGGGAATTCTACAAATTTTTGTAAACTAATGATGAAAATTGTTAGTCATCAGATGTTTCATTTTTGTTTTATTTCTGGAAATTAAAAGACATTTTATCTGAGTCTAAAACTTTCAGTGATTCCTGTTCTTAAAGACAAGAGCGTTCTTTATGATCTAAAAGACACAGCATCTCAGCACTACATAAATGACCTCAGGCTTCTCTAGCATGAGTAACTCAATAATTAATATTCTTGGAAAGACACTAATGGGAAACACCAAGAGCTGAGAGTAAACAGGCAGCTGGGAGAAAACTAACTGCTAAGAAGGAAAGTGATGTTCCCATAAAAATCACATGATCTTCTTATGATATTCAAAAGGAATGATGCATCATACTTAATGGCATTGCTATTATTGCAGATTAATTACATCGTCTCATTGGACAAAAGATGTGACATGCATCCCGGCATTCCCTGAGTCTTCAGGACGGCATGAAAAATGAAATGATAAAATACAACAAGAACAAAGAGCTGACTTGTAACTTCACACTCTGGGTAGGCTGAAACTTGGTAGAGAAAAGAACTATCTTGGGGCTACATTTCCCTGGCACATATCTATGCCTTGTGTGTGGAACACACAGTGCCTTCAAAGAAAGCTCTGTGAATGGAAAGATGCCAAGAGAACCAGGGCTGAGATACTTAACTGGAGTAACCACAGGCACTTACTCTTCTCACACCTCTTTAGTTCAGATCTAAATTAGAAGAAAAATGGAGTCCAAAATAGCAACTTCTTAGGGTATCTTCTTTAGTCTCATATTTAAGTATTTACATTCTATATCTTATAATTAATCAAATAGTATTTTGTTTTCTGATATATTCTGAACCAATAGTAGATTTGCGTTTACACATAAGGTATTGCAAACTAAATCAGGGTAATGCTACAGAAAAAAAATTGTAATTTACCTACAAAATATCTTAATAATTTATTCAAAAGGAGGCAGTAAGATCATTTCTCTAATACCAATATTACTGCCAATTCCTCCAATACTAATATCAATATATATTGATAAACATTGATAGAAGAGTTGTGGAAAAAGTGAAAAGTATTTCAAAGAATGTATTGTAGGCAGTAATACATAACAAGAATAAAGGCACACTTTGAACACAGTCAAATGTAAGTTACTGAACTAAATAAAATTAAGACAGTAGGGCCCATATGTTGTTTGAGACAGCTTCCTAGATGCCAAGACAACATTTACGGAAGTCATAGAGTGTCAGGAACAAGTATGGAGCAGTATTATATAGAAAGAAGACAAGAATACAGGGGTAGAAATTAGGAAAGCATCTTTAGGTCTAGTCCAATTTTTACTATGAATAGGCTCCTCTTCTTTGGTCAAAGTCTTCTTTGGGCAAATTTCTTTTGCCTAGATTAGCAGAGCAGTGAAATAGTGATAATAACAGTGACACTCCCATCTTTGTAGGATAATGGGGAAGCATAAATAAGATAGCATATGATGACATTTTACAAGCATCTTTTTTTAACTTACCTGGTTGTGGTAAAGACGCCATATACTACAGGATTTCTTTCATCTCTTGTGGGCAGTAAGTAAATATCTTCTATTAATGGGAAAAAAATAATGATTCTCTATAGTTTTATTTTTCAGTATTATACGTTTGCTTTTTCTTTAATAAAGTGATATTTCTGAGACTCTAAACAATATATAAAATTAATATAGTGAAAGTCATTACATTATGACATCAGAAACTAAAGGTAAAAGACTGGCTCTCACTAGCTACGTGACATTGAGTTGGACATTTAACCTCTTAGGTGTTTACTTCAATCACCTAGAAGTGGGATGGTTCGGTTGATAATCTCCATGACTCTTTCCAATTAGGAGTATGTAATTTCACATAAAAAAGAAACTAAAAACACAGGTTATTTTTACCCTCCAGTGTAAAAAAGTCTTGTCCTATAATTGCGTCAACTTATTAGTAATTCAATTACCTATTTGATAACAATTTGAAAATAACTACACAAGTTAATTACTTGTACAGTATTACTTGTGAGGTATTGGTACTAAAGTATGTGTAAATAATATTCTTTAAGAGATTATTTAAGATGTGAGCATACTTATATACAACATGAGAGATCATCGGTGAATACTGAATGTATACTTTAACACTGTGAAATACAATACTGACGAAATCATCAATGATATAACCATTTTTACACAGCCAACAAAAACAAGTTCAAGAAGATAAAAGCTAATGATGTTAATTAACTTTTTATACAATCAAAAAAATCCTTCTGGAATTAGCTTTGAGGGGAGTAAACAGGGAAAATAAAGGATAAAAAGTCTGTCTAATGCTTCTCTGGAAAGCACTTTTTATTAACAAGCTGGAGTGACATAGTTCACCAAATCTCCCGCGCTCTCCAGCAGAGGGCGTTGCAGAATAAGGAACCCAAGTTCTTGCTACCTACAGATGGGCTCATTTTAAAGTGAAAGACTGCATGGAGAACGGACGGACACTGTAATCCCAGAGCTGTATGTTTCTGTCTCTTGCTGTAGCTTTGTTTCCCTCATAACTTTCAAGGCTCTTACAAAGAGAGGAATTGCTTCATTACAATGTGCACCCACACCTAGAGGACCTCCATGTTCTTTGCGTGTGCAAACTTAGTGAGAACCACTCCTGCAAGCTGACTGTGCTATATAATTAGGCATTTGGGGCTAAAATAAAATAAATGCTGGATTACTTCATTAGGCAGTAAGACTTTTTTTAAGAAAAAAGAAACACGTGACTTACGAAGCTCATCAAAATGAGTGTCTGCCCCATCACTTCCAGGAATTGAGCAAATCAATCTGGCCTTAAGAAAAGTTGTCCATTTGTTTATCAGGCTGCGCTGTCCTCCTACATCATTCTGAAAAAGAGGAAAAAAATAAAGATACAGATTTACAAACATGCGTCTATCACCAACTAAAACTATTTACAAAGGCAGAAAGCTACATATTTAAGTCCTCGAACTTTCGAATGAGGGAAAAGACAGTTTTGTCCCTCAACATTAAAGACTCTTCTCATGGTTAAATGAATGCAGTGTAACCAACATAGCTCTAATGAATGAGCAGATGCATGCAAAGCCACAGTAAGTAAGGCAGGCTTAGAATCAACTCCCATCTCTGCCAATTTTTATTCCGTGACCTACAAAACACGGTTTAATTCTCCAAGTCTCTGTTTTCTCAACAATAAAACATGATTACTGCCTTGAAATATGATTGTTCTGATGATTAAATAGAAAAATGTATATAAGGATGCTCACATGTTTAAAGTGCTTAGCAAAGGCCAGGCAATTTCTGTTCAATAAATGCTAGCACTGACTTGTATATTATGCATACGATTTGGGTCAATTTTTGCATCCTTTAGAATACTCCTTGGTACAGACTTAAACATAGCCCTTTTCCCAAATTTAGTGCCCTACTAATTAAACACCAAGGCAACATAAACATACAGACAATAACATTCATATAAGAGCAATCTTGTTTTAAATACTAACTGATGTTTTTCCATACTTTATTTTCCTCTGAAATCTTTCATTAAAAATGTTCTTTAGACATTTAGCAAAACATAAGCATTTAAATCAATTAAATGGAATAAACAGGGTTATGATGTTCAATAATTCAACACAAAAAGATGTATTTTTTCTTTTTTTAAGAAAGATTAGCTCTGAGCTAACATCTGCCACCAATCCTCCTTTTTTTTGCTGAGGAAGACTGCCCCTGAGCTAACACCTGTGCCCATCTTCCCCTACTTTATATGTGGGACACCTGACACAGCATGGCTTGACAAGCAGTGCGTAGGTCTGCACCCAGGATCCGAACCAGTAAACTCAAGGCCACCGAAGTAGAATGTGCGAACTTAACCACTGTGCCACCGGGCCAGCCCCTATATTTTTTATTTTTAATTTAACATGTCCCTGTGAACACTAAATTAATATGATTTTTTTGTTTGACTCAACTAGATCTGCTATGTTTATAATAAAGTGAGACTGTTTCATGGTATAAATATATCAAGTATTCAACTTTGCCTTTCAAAAATGATTTTTGGAGCCACTATTTGCATTAATGCATTTACATTTAAATATAAATTCTCCAAAAAGCTTTATCTTTCATGCAGTCTATCTTCTGTAAATAAAAAGTTCACCATCAAATTTCAAGTCTGAATATCTAGGAACAGTCTTCTCTGTGTTCTTTTTATCTCTGAAAATGAAATTAAATTAGAGAAGAGCATCAAAATGACTACTCCAAACGAGAGAATTCAAAGCCATATAAATAGTTGCTATTCCTGAGGAAAGAAGGAGAAGGAAAAAAGAGAAGAGAGAGAGTTCCCTTTTAGTATTAACATGGGTAACATGAAAATACAAATTCTCAGATGGCTCTTGGATTTGTGGGAGAACTGAGAAGGTAAGTAAAGTCCTTCAGACTGAGCCCAGAGACCACAGCTACCTTTACAGTCTTAGCACCTAACACCAAGGGCGCACTGTGACACCCAGAATGAATTGTGTTTCACATCCCTCTCTGCTAAACAACAAAATAATTTTCACTAATAGCTCTATGTAAATAAACAATAATTATTACTTTCTTTAGTTGTTCTTTGGGTTTATAACAAATAATTTTAAAAGAATAATACTCTTGAAATTTAAAGATATTCCAATTCAATAAAATATTTCACATATGAACTAAAATTTGCACTTGAACAAAATATCACACCTCACAGTTGCACTATGGCTCACTGGTTTTTTTAATTGAGATAACATTGTTTTATAACTTTATATAGATTTCAGATGTCCATCATTATAATTCAAATTCTGTATACATTACATCTTGTTCACGACCAAAAGTATAGTTTCCATCTGTCACCATACAAATAATCCCCTTTACTCATTTTGCCCTGTCCCCATCCCCTTGGTCTCTGGTAAACACCAATCTATTCTCTATATCTATATGTGTGTTTGCTTCTTTATTTTCCACATATGAGTGAAATCATACAGTATTTGTCTTTCTCCATCTGACTTATTTCACTTAGCATAATACTCTCAAGGTCCATCCAAGCTGTTGCAAATGGTAAGATTTCATCTTTTTTATGGTTGAGCAGTATTCCATTGTTTATCTAAATACTACATCTTCTTTATCCATTCATCCATCGATGGGCACTTAGGTTGTTTCCATGTGTTGGCAATGTAAATAATGCTGCAATGTACATAGGGGTGCATATATCTTTTTAAATTAGTGTTCTCATATTCTTTGGATAAATACTCAGAAGTGGAATAGCTGGATCATATAGCAGTTCTATTCTTAATTTTTTGAGGAATCTCCATACTGTTTTCCATAGTGGCTGCAGCAATTCACATTCCCACCATGGTGTAGGGGTTTCCTTTTTTCCCACATCCTTTCACTGTTTTAAATTTTAAATGATTCCAAGTCATTCATTACTCTTGAAATACGTGTGTAGCTGATTTTCATGTGTGTTGGGGGCTGACTATACATAACTGTGTATATATACATACAAATAATAGAAACACGGTGGTAACCACACCAATTGTTTGGAACTTGGACAAACAAAAGACTTTGCTGGCAGTAGTATCTTATCACTGATACTATTTAGAATTGCTGACACATTGTGAGAATAAAAAGCATAACATCTAGTTGATTTTCTAATAGTTTTTAATTATCACCAGAAAATATGCTCCTTTATTCCTTTTTTCCTTTTACCCAGTTTTTACTCCAGATATGTCATTAGCACCCTGCTTGTCAGATATTTAATAAAAACATGCTTAATAATTAAGGAATAACTAAAAATACAAGATAAAGTTGATTCAAGTCTTTAGAAAAGTATAGATAAATGCCAAGGAATTTGAGTCTCCTCTGAAATTTCTTTGTAGTAAGAAAATGAGGACAGGCGTCACCAAAGAGCTAGATTTCATACTGTCTTTACAATAACAGGTGGGTTCAGACATGTAGAGATGGGTTCAGGAAATAGTATAGATGCTCGTAACTAGGGGAAAAGGACAACAGGTGGGACAATTCAGATCATGTATGGAGAACCAGGACAAATTTGGTTTAGATGAAGACTGGGATAAATTGAAATAGTGGAGGAAAATGTTATAAAAGTAAATTGGGGTAAGATAAAGTAAGGCTTTAATACGAGGCTGAAGCATCTGTATGTTATTTAGCACACAACTGAAGAACTACTGAAAGATTTAGTAATTAGCAAAGAAGTGAAATGATGAGAGTTTTCCTTTGAGAAAATGAATATATAACATATTCTATATAATAACCCTCTAGAAACAAACATGTCTATAATTGACATTAAATTTATATTTTGTATATGGTGCTTCTATTATTCGAATATCATTGCTCAACAATAAAAATAGTATTCTACCTAGCTATTGGATGATTTCCAATGTCTACAGATGTGAAGGCAGATTTAACTAGATATGACTTTTATTTTTAAGGCTAATATCCTCAGATGATTTAATAAATATAAATCCAGATGTTAATATGAACAGGAAAAATTACTGATGTTTCCCCCTAATGTAACAATGAATTCTATGTTAATATAAAGTAGGATTCCAGTGGGAAAATGTATTATCTGGAATTACTCAGAAAGAAAGAAATTTTAAATAAATTAAAAAATACAAGTTACCTCATTTTTCTCAAGACGCTTAAATTATCTTTTTAAATTCACATACTAGCTTTTATATTTTTTTAGCAAAGCCCTAGTTGTACCAAGCAGAGTTCTAGTTAAAACCTATTTAAATGCATTCTTCTTATATATTTGTGATATTTATAAAATTTTCACTGCCTATATTTGTATATTTTGAGAGTCAGCAATAAATATTGAAAATGCTGTTGATTTAATATAGAGAGAAATATATCAGCTATCATGAATATAATGCCAGGGATTATGTTTGCTTTACTGCTTTACCTCTAGCACAGCATGGCTGCTCAAATGATTTTGCTAATGAGTAAACAGATATATTGAATATTTGCTCCACAACATTCCTTTAACAAGTATATACACCACTATTCATCATCATAATGAGCAATCACATTCTCTTTTAAACATTTTATTACATAAAAGTGACAATAAATGTCATTTTCAAATATTGTCCCCCTTTCTATCTGCAATTATCACCCATATTTAAGAAAGAACATGAAAAAATTATAATTATTCTACTAACTCCAAATTTGTTGGACAGGAAATGTTTTCATACTGTATTTGCATATTTTTTTTAACCTGACAAATGGAAATTGCAATGCTTTGAACAAAAGAATCTTTAAATGCTCTTGGCTACCCATCTAGCAGACTTCCCTGGCCCCTCAAGGAATAAGAACATAAAAATTTCCAAAAAGCCAGGTCAAAGATGAAAGCCACCTGCTGTTAGCAGGGAAACAAGTATAGTTTCTGGATAATAGCTCTCAGGAATGGATTCTAAGCATTTAGTGACTGGATAGTAACTCTTATAGACATCCAGAGGCACGGCCTGGCATAGTTCAGTTCACAAGGAGGTGTATTTCCTCTGTGAGGAAGCGTCAGTGGACTGACTTTGTTGACCGGCTTTCAGTCCCTGCATTTGTTTACAAATCAACACAATCTCCCCTCAGAAATTTAAGCCCTGAACAGGGCTGAAAGAGAGGTAACCACGTTTGTACTAAATTGTCACCTCCTTGCTTATTTTTGTGAAGCTCTAAAGAACACAACTGTCTCACCTACACAATAGATTTATTATTGAGATGTCAGAATCAGCAGCTTTTAGTCACCAGTCACTTCTATGTGTCTCCATTCTATTTATCACAGCTTCTTTGTGGTCAAACTGCCAAAAGCCTTGCCATCCTCTACACAAAGATGCAGATGAAAGTAACG